TTCCATGAACACGATCAAGAAGAGAAAGAGAAGCAGACGAAGCTCCACTCCACACGTGACTACAGTATTCAAGAGCACAGCGGATTTCAGCTTTATACAGTACGAGATGAGTTGGAGTGAAAAAACGTCTGGGGTGGAATAAAAAACCAATCTTTTGCGCAGCACAAGAAACAAGCTGAGCTGTAAAAGAGGATTAGCATAAAGGAGAAGTTATAGGTAATCCAAGAGGGAAAACGGAGTCTGTGGAACGCAGTTCGATGGAATTCAAAGATAAATGGGAGAATGAATAATTTTCTGAAGAAAATGAATGAAGAGACGTTTTAGAACCATTGAATTAAACGTGGTAGACATTGCCCTAGGTGCAGGCGTGTTCAAGATCGGAGTCCAGCGACACATTAACTGCACTACGGTCACGATCGATGTTGTTTTGTCAACTGATCGCTCGGATTGATGAAATCAAACTTTGTAATGGCGAAAGTTTATTACCCATACTGCTATGGGTCCAAAACGAAGGCAAAAACAGCAATTTAAGCTACCTAATTGTGACTAGGACAATACTGTATACCTGCGGAGAAACGGTTACCACCGCATATACTTGAAGTCTAGGACTCTGGAACTTCTTTTCCTGCACAAGATCAAATAGTACATACAATTGCAACCACTGGTTTATGATACATGTAATACAAAAAATCGGATGAGACGTACTTATTGTAGAATGCATTGTGTAATCTCAGGCCTTCCACAGCACCACAAAGTGAGAGGAAATCTTCCTTCGTCAATCGAAGCATATCACGCCCTAAAGACCAGAAACAGATGAAATTATTAAAGATGGGTAGATGTGATTCATATCATACTTTACAAAACAGTTGTTAATTCAATGGCGCAGTTTCAACCTTTCGTGTGCAGAGAAACAATGTTCCAATAATTTGATCAGGATTTCCATTCACGTGTGGGGAACAAAGACCATGATGGTAATCATATAGAACTTCGCTAGTCATAAAGCTTGGGCAGTTATGGAAGATTTCAAACCTCGACCAACGCCGACCGGTGCACGCCAGTGGCAGTGAACTAAACCAACTGACTACTTCTGCTCAGTGGTGTAACGATCTTGGTAACTTGCCCTCCGGTTTGAATGTGAATCGTGTTCATGTCTCCCTGGACCGTTTGGTTCATGGCGTTTGTATTTTCCAGATGGTTAGACAACCCTCCCCATGGAGAATCTCCTATTTGTTAATGATTCCAGCCCATATCGGGTTGTCTGGTGCATCCGTTCACGGGGGGCATCCTACCGCACACACGAGCCAGGCATACCACAGTGGTCATTAAAAGAGCCACCGTTGTATACTGCTTCAACTAAGTATTTTCTCTGTATGGTTTTCGTCAATATAACGGTTTAATCGAAAAGTTGTCTGTTTGACTATGTTACCGGTTTTCTGAATCCAATCAACGAACAAGCCATCTGATCAAACACGAGTGAACTTTGACAAACTTAATGCAGCACTTAAATTAAACCTCCGTTGTGATCGAAATTCATCGAATTCCCTGTACCATCGTCGAGTTCGTCCAGGGGAACGAAAATTTTGATTTGATTTCCGTGATCAGATCATTTACTATTTTATGAGCTCTTCCTTCTTCATCCGACATTTCAAGTCGTTAGCTAATTGATGAAATACGTGTGGTTGTGGTCAGAAACAATATCCATTTGTCTTTGTGAACCTGAAGCTAAATATCATCATTCCAAAGCTCCAGATAATTTTTTTGATAAAAAAGACATGTGGGAAACACCGCTCAAAAAGCGTGACCGGACGCTCTAAGTGAATACCTGTAAATGTCTGGAATTTCTCTACCAAGTTCTCGAAACTGGATGCGCGAAACCAGTCTGCGACTTCGGCTGCGGACATCCCGGCATGAATTCGTGGCACAGTTTGAACGGGAACGGAGTGTGAAGCCTCAATTGGTGATTGGACCTCGATAGTCTCCGGGGGAAGTGGTTCATCACAAGCGGAATGGGGTGGAATGGATTGTTCTATCGGCTCCAGCGCACCGTCTAGAGTATCTTTCCGCCGTGAGTCCAATACTGTTTCCGCAGGCATTTCTGAGGCATACAGGGAACAAGGGCGACAGCGCACATCCGGTTGAAACATCTCAACAGTCGGTGATGCGTGACCCGTGATAGCTGTGGATGAGGCTACACTCGTGGTCTGAGTGGAATTCAATCGGGACGGGACAACAGTGGACGGAACATTTGTTTCTTCTTCCTGGGGATCCACCAACGTCCATTTACTGAGTTCATCGTTGCCGAAACTGGATTCAGCGGAAGTGCTCAACTCACGCACTTTTGGTCCCGGAGGTGCTTCTTCCTCCGGTGTCGCGGGAGTGATTTTGCTCATCTACTCGAGACAAGCATAGGAAAACAGATCGAAAATTGTCGCGGTGAAAAAATGAAATCGGAACAAAATATTTGATGGTATACCTGATATGATACCCGTCGAGAATAAACTTCAGTGAAACATATCACTGCGCATATTGAAAAAAAAATTCATACCACCATGACGTTCCGCTTTTGGTGAACTTATTTCCGAATTTCCAAAACAACGGCTGTTTGATTAGCTTATCCCTTCGATTGTGTGGCAAATCCAGTGTAAATATCACTGGGAAAAAGAAGACATTGAAATATTCGTGACCGATTAGCATATTTCTCTAAAAACATGAAATACCATCAGTGGTTCTACCAAACGTAAAAGAATCATCATCGTACAGCAAAATACAGGGAAACGAACTTCACTGATCGCTGCCAAACTCGCAATGAATATGCACTGGCATTTGATGGTCGGGTATTGCTAGGATGTCCAACCATTGAGCAGGAAAAACGTAAAAGAATGTAGTGATATTGCTGAATGTGATTACCCAGAATTTCCTTATTAGCAGGTGAGTGCCCCTGATAACAGTGTGTGTTACGTTGTGATACGTTCTTACAAAAACGGTAGGAGGGGATGTAGTTAAAAGAGCGTGGATATCTTTGTCCATAAATCCTGAATCTCCAGGACGGTGGGGAGGTTTTGATCTCATAGAATGCGTACAATAAAGCACCTGCTGAGGAAGTTATATACACTGATCTCTAGTGATGTGTTTTCACTAAAGTGACCCGGTGAAAGGATGATATTCGGGACTGCGGTCAAGCGGGTGACTCACGGGAAAGCTGTGATTTAAAACCCTCCAAAAAGAGGTGTACGAGACAGCACCGGAACATCCTGGTTGAAAAGACCTCCGGCAGCAGGGTGTGGTGGGGTGTCCAAATGCTTGCTCAAAAAAACATAATCTCACTGACGGGATACCACGCACGAATGAACTGCGGTGGCCACACACCACCCCGCTGTCTTGAAAGTAAGGCTTTGGGAAATCGAAGGTTCCAGTAACAAACTAGTCAAATTCTGCTTATGAAAAAGATATGTATCAATTTACCTTTTGTACTATCTCTGAGCACATACAATCGATATATATATATATATACATTCGTCAATTGTAGTACTCATCCAATTCTACTCTAGGGGGATCTTGGAAGCGTGCTGGTCAAGAGTAAGTAAACCAACAGAAAGTATTCTCGGGCATTTGAATTATTAAAACCAATCAATCAATAATTATTTCTTAAAATAAACTAAGTATTCGAAAGTGTTATCTTGTGAAGTGCTTACAACTGAACGGCGAGTAGACTTTTGGCACTGTAAAACGATGTCTAGGCCAGATATGGGCTAAAAGGAAATACATTCAGGAATCGATAGGGCTTTGGCTGTTTGTGTTTCGTGTCTGATACCGAAAATTGTTTGAAGTGTAGAAAATCGGATTCCGTACGTTTCTAACTGGTGGTACACGATTCAGTGACAAGGCTAGAGGTTGCCGCAGTGAATGAGACAAGAAAATACAATGGATCGAAGCTAAACCGGTAAAAAAGAGAACAATTGCTTGGTTGCCTTGCATAAACCGTTAAATGTTGCTCCAAAGAACAGCCGGGATGTGAATACATTAGAAGTGAATGGCACGTTTCGACTTGCAACACAGCCGTGTCTGTTCGCTTTATCTTACTTTCCAAACAGATTCCACAGGTGTTTTTGGATGAAAAGCGAAAAGTGCGATAATAAAAATCGATTGAGCAAAACATTTTTTAGGTTTATTCGTAGATGGAATGGATGTGGAATAATGGACGTTGTCAGATTACTGAATTCTAGTGTATAAGATAGAAAACTACTAGCGCTAGCACTGCTGATGCTACCCAAAAATGATCACCTCAGGCGACATCCTCCCAAACTATTCCTTCCAAAGAGTAGGCTAAATTGCCAAGTCAACACTTCAGCCTCAGGGTAAAGTCGGCAAAACAGCCACCCGCAGGTCTCAATTTCGAATCCCACCAACGCCGTCCATCCTCTCACTTTCTGTATTCCCCTGGTAGCCTTAACATGAAAGTTTATTGTGCATTGTCATGCTCACCAAACAAAAGAATAAAAACATTAACTCATTATTACTTTATCGAATATCAGCTACTTGGGGCTCTCTTCCATCCCAAGCTGAGTGTACTCCTAACATCGATATATATATATATATATATATCCCATGCTCACAACTCATAGAAGAGAATAATTCATCCCAATTTTCATTTTTGCAAAGCTGGATCTCGTTGATTCCCATAAGATTTTTACACACTGGTTTCGAATATATATACATATATATACTACAGGTCTGCAAGCAAGCAAGGTGCCAACCGAACAACAATAATGACAGAGGACGGGAGGCAGACTGAGATACGAAACACGGAGAAATGGAGTTCAAACAGTTAGTGGACAACGAGAATTAAAACCTTTGTAACCCGATACACTTTTTGATATTTTTGTGTCAGTTTGTTGTTCCTTATGGGACATGTTATTTCAATAGGCAGATCGCACAGCATTCACACCATTGACTTCTATTCTGTAAAAGGTCTCTTAGTATGACCAACTAACGACAATCCTCGTCCCTAGAACCTTAAACTCGATGGGGGTTGGTGGCGCAGTGGTCTAGTAGCTATCACTGGCGTGCTTTGAGCCTTGTGGTTTGAGGTTCGAACCATTCTACCGCTACCCAACTTTTGTGGTAGACAGCTTCGCTATCGTCTGATTCATCAGCAAATATAAATAATATAATAAATACGATAAAAAAACTTGAAGGCGGACTGTACCAACCGGAGCCAAAACTGATGCTAGCTTCTATGCCAGGTCATAGTCTGAATGCCGCAACGTTTCTTTCAGTCCTGTCCAGCAGATGCAACGAGATCACGGAAAGGTAAACAATAGACAGACGGACGCAAAACGTGACTAGGTCTTATGAGACTATGTGGAGCGACTATTTCGTTTAAAGAAAAACAATCCGGACACGACTAACTCGAAAACTAAAAAGAAAATAGAAAAAATCGTCTTCTCACAATAATCGTTCAAGCCGAATGAAGATAGAAACTGATAACCCATGGTTCCAAAACACTATGCCTAGACAAACACGTTTTTTGTTAATCCGACTGACTGTTTCGCCCACTTCCGGTTCCATATGTCATACCTTCAGCTCATCATGTCTAAAGACAGAATCTCGGACTGTGTCAGTTGTCACAAGACAGGAGGTCGGTGTCCGCTGCATCAAGCGGAAGGAGGAGCAAGCAGTTTGTTCCTTGATAGACCTCACTGGTGTAGTGTATTTGGCAAATGGCAAACCTAGAAGTCATTGAAGAAGTTCGCCTCACTGTATTTCGCTGGCGGTAATGATACAGAATAAAAACGAATTAACAGACTAACGTAGATTCATAACATCAAATAAAAACATCTCAATAATGAATGTGGAATGACTGGTAGAAATGAATGATCAATATTGATCAAAGGAGTTTAAAGTAAACCGTATTCACTATATGAAAGAACTGATTAAAATTCATAAAACAATTGTAGAATTTGTTCATATGGGAAAGAACATGTACTTCGTTAAATATGAGATTTGAACAAGACAAGTTGGAGAATCATTGCCTGCAGACTATAAATCACACTGAACTGATAAGTCAAGTCAAACTAAGCAGTATGCATCCAAAGGGTGAATTTTTACGAGAATACAGTAGAAGTGAGAGGGGGGAAGCAAAAGTGTGACGGGGGTAAGCAAAAACGACAGTGCACTGCGAGCGAGAAGACGATAATATCAGTTTAAGAAATAAATAAACTCATGAGATACTCTACCAGACGTGTAATAATTGGTGTCAGAGTTGCTAAAATGCCGATCACATTTCATGATAGCTCTGATTACCACGACGAAGGCATTTTAGCAGAGGGGATGAAAATCTGCCAGCGTGAATATATACAATCTCGATGTGGCAACGGAAATCGAAACAGAAATTAAGGTAACCGATGAGATGTTGGCATTTGAAGGAATTATTGAAATTGGAGAAAACAGAAGAAGCAGACGAGATCATATCTTGGAGTCTAGATAGGTTATCAGGGGGACAATTCGTCCGTTTAATCCGAGATGTTATCTGTGCTTTTTGATGATGACATATTTAACCATAGATTTTAGGATACAGAAGAACTGTATAGTGATCGGACGTGTTAACGGAGGGTTGTTTTTCTATAAAAAGATCTCAGGGATATCTACAAAAGTGCTGCAAAGTTGAGTCTCCAAACGAGTGAGAAAGTGCATAAGACTAACCCAGTCTAAATTTCTTGAGAAAGAAATACCATCCGCAATGCACAAGGATTGATCTCAGCCAGTGTCGAGAAAAAGTCGGAAAACATTTGGATGTCAGAAGTGGATGTATCAGGGGCAGTGTAAATGTTTCCTGGCATGATATGATGGAATTCAATAAGAAAGTTGGCTATAGGTTGGACGACAATGCAGTTGATTTTTCTGGTATTAAAATAAAATAAAACATGAGTTGTTAAACCACTTACGGTTCACTCCGCCATTTCTATTATTAAAATTCACAATCCGATTACTCACTAGATACCTTCGAGTTAAGCAGAGCTGAATGCTACCAGGCGCATCCTGGGATGTGGATAAGGGGGTTACCTTCGCCGAAGAAGTTTAGCTGTGAATATGTTTGGTTATACCGCAACAAATAAGCAATCGCGAACAAACAACAGGGTTTCAGGCTGGTCACCACATAAGCTTAATGACGGTGTCGCGACAAAGGTCGATGTGACCGGCCTTTTAAAACTAGTCAGTGACCCCCTCGATTCCGAGGCGCGGGATTACTTCCTGTTGCCTTGCAGTTCGCACTTAGTTGTGCAAAGGCTTGGGGTGCACCCTCAAAATAAAAAACGTCGTGACGCAGGGGACGTCTCTCGTACCAAACTCCCAAGGAACTTCATGACCATGTCTTCTACAAGCTTTATTATCTATGCTACGCGGGCAGGTGACGCGCCCCGCGCTCCTCCAGTGGTCGGCGTGTCAAGAAGGCGAACTGGATCTCATAAACCTCTTCAACTTAGAAAGTACCTCTACGTGGGATGCTGGAACGTGAGAACCTTCTTGGACATTGGGAGTAGGGCAGTGACCATGCGCAGGTTACACGACTACCGCGTAAATGTTGCATGTTAATCCGAAGTATGATTAGCCAGCTCCGGCTCCCGTAGTAGCAGGGTTCCCGGTTCTGATAGCCACCATTATTTATACCATAGTGGTCCAGAAATTTCAGGTCAACAGGGAGTGGCGTGAGCGCTGAGCCAGCGAGCCAACGCTGCCCTACTCTCTAGGAAACCAATATCGTCAACGATCGCTGCGTCACGCTTCAAAGGCAATTTTACCAACCTCATCGTGGTAGCACTCTACGCTCCCACTCTACATCCGAAAGCGTAGTGAAGGACAAGTTTTACGGCATTCTTCAGGAGGTAGTAAATCGTGTCCCCAAGAGAGATGTACTTATCGTGGCGGAAGAGTGCAATGCGCGAGCAGGTGAGCAATGACAAAACATATGATTGGGAAATTTGGACTAGGCTATCGGTGCAAAAACGGTGATATGCTAATTAATTTCTCCGACTTTAACCGGCTATTTATAACCAACAAATGTTTCCAGCACCCCAGGAAGCATTTTCTTACCTGGTACACCAACGATGGCATAACAGCCCACCAGATCGACTATATCTTGATACGGTCACGCTGCATCTCATCAGTAGATTGTAGATCGTATCGCGGTGCCGAAGCTGATAACAGAGGTGGCTCTGATCACATGCTGGTTCGTACGAAACTTCACCTTCGGCTCACTACTTATGTTAAGACCATCCCTCCAAATCGCAT